TTTTTTTTTTTTTTTTTTTCTAATGTCCCTAACCCTCCTCTGTACTTTAGGCATAGAGTCCAGAGTATTTCTACTTTTATTTCTGAGGTTTAAGTAAGAATAAAGTCAGAATTCGGAGAATAAAATCAGAATTTAGTAGTCTCTTTTTTAATAATAATAATAATAAAAATCTGCTGGGGGTTTAAAAGGGAATTTTTCCTCTCCACTGTCACTACAAGCATGCATGGTGCGGGGGATGATTTTCGAGTTAATGAGTCGATACAACCAGCTGGTTTTCTTTAGAAAACTTTGAATTAATTTGACTGTATGATCTGGTTGAATGGTCTCTGTAAAGTGCCTTGAGACGACATGTGTTGTGAATGAACTGTATATAAATAAAATGAATTGAATTAAACAATAATAATACCTTGAAAGTAATTTACAAAGTAGCCTATTTCAGTTTTTCTTTATTTATGCCTTTGTTAATAAACACATAATATAGATCATAATCAAATGTCAGCATGAACTTAAATAACATTAGAAAAACAAAACATGGCAGGTTGTGATTGTTGTCATTTAGCATCAATCAAAGTTACATTTTGAAGATGCAGTAACGTGACATCCACTTTCATATTTGCGTTTAACTTTACAGTGTTTAGATATTAATAGAAGACTGCTAAGAAAGCAAAGAGGTTTGTGAGAAATTTGGAGGACTTCCACTTTATACTAATTTACCTAAGAGAAAAAGTTACTTAATAATGAAGCTCAACATTTGATCTCTACATTCAAAACTTAACTTTACTACCATCAGGTCAAATTTGGACATTTAGTTTATCCTTGACAAGTTCCTCCATGTCCTTCAAATCCTGGATAGAAACGAACAGCTACAAAATACATGTATTATAGTCTCTGACTTGACAAAAAACACAGTTTCCATCCTATTACTGAAACTATGATAGCTATTTGTTACAAATATTGTACAGAATTCTGAGGTTAAACTCCTTCATTATAAGCAAAGTATTGAAAGTAAAGCAACAATTTCATTCACTGTCACCATACTTGAGCTAAAAAAAAAACCTTTCTTTTATTGTAATTTCTGTCCATTAAATAGATTCACCCAAATATAAAGAGGTATCTGCAAAATAAGCCTGTGATATACAAACTGAGCTTTTACTCATTACTGAAGGAATTGTTATCGCTACTGTGAAAGTATTTCAGTTGCGCATACTAGTTTACGTCTTTTTACGACACCTTTTGTTGCGGTACGGCAGAATCCGTATGCTCGTAACGTGGAGTTGTTTACTACTGATTTTAGTGTTTCTGAGCTAAAAGGCAGATGTTTAGGCTTTAACTATCAGCAGCTGGTTGGGAATTTGACAAACTGTCCAGGGGAGGATATGGGGAAGCCAAAGAAAAAGAGTGAGTGTGTTGTAAAAGGTGTTAGAGAGGTGGAATTACTTTGAAATTAGCCAAGCTGGTTGTAGCTTGTTGCTAATGCTAACCATTATCGTGGTTTTAAAGTACACAGAATGTCACGCAAGACGATGTTGCTCAGACTACTTGTTTTTAATATAGAGTTAATATGAAGACTTCGTTATTTTAAAGTGTGAAGTTTAATAAAGCCTTTTAAACATGTTTCCAGGTGACATTAGCCGAGCAGAGCTGATGATGATGACCATCGCAGACGTCATCAAGCAGTTGGTTGAAGCCCATGAACAGGGCAAAGACATCAATCTCAACAAGTAAGATAGATCCTTTTTCTCATTTCACTGGTTTCTAAAACTATGAGCCTCATTTGTGTTCTACTCATTTTACTATGAAAATATAATTGAAATTATATATTGGTGTGTTTTATGATGTTTATGATAAAACCTACATTATCTGGGATAAATTTCTCAGGGATTATTCATTTGGAATTTTCAGGAAACAAACTATTTCAGAAACTTACTAGAGCACAGTGAAGAGAAGAAAAGTAATCACTTTTTCAGATTATCTATCCTTCTAAATGTTGAATTAATCTTTTAATCCACCAGTTTAATCTGCTAGGTATGAGGAACTATTAGGGCCAGGCTACAGATTAAATTTTTATTCTATATGTAGAATAAAGTCGTAATGAGAACAGTCATAAAATTACGAGAACACAGTTGTAAATTTACAAGAATAAATTCATAAAATTATAAGAATAAAGTTATAAAGTCGCAAACTAACGAGAAAAAGTCCTGAAATCATGAGAATGAAGTTGTAAAATTCTGAGAATAAAGTCGTAAAGTCACAAGAATAAAGTCGTATTATTACGAGAAAAAAGTCACATTGAGATTAGTCAAAATTACGAGAATAAATTCATAATAATAAGAAAACAGAGTCCTAAAATTACAGGAAAGAAGTTGTATTTTATGACAACTCTTACAAGAAGCACTTTCTTCCCTAAAATAAAGAATTTTGAGCATCATGTGAAGTTATACTTTGGCTATGGTTTGACAAATAAGGAAGTCTTTTAGCATCAGCATCAAATTGGGCAGGATGTCAAGGTGGACTTAAAGCTTAAAGCTGTCTTTCTGAGAGGGGTTGTTGTATAATGACTCCTTTCTCATAATGCTCTGACTTAATTCTCGTAATATTATGACTTTATTCCCATAATAATAAAAATAAAAAACAACTCTAGCCTGGCCCTAATACTCCGTCATAGGAAAGCCCTGGTCATTTGAGAGATTTTGGTGAGGAGCAAATCAGCCAGTAAGGTTTCTGATTTACTGATTTTGTTGGTTGTTTCCTTGGTTTCAGCTCCGCCCTTCTTGTTCCAACATAATTGTGGGGAGTGGCGGCATAGTGGTTAGGGCATAGAGCTTGGAATTCTGAGGGCCCACTCCCACAGACTGCCACTCTGGGACCCTAAATAAAGACTCTTAACCTGACGCTGCTCCCCAGGCGCCCCACGATGGCTGCCCACTGCTCCCCAAGGGGAGGGGTTAAATGCAGAGTTCATTTTGTTGCTCTTTACTTGTGACAGTATAGTGACAATAAAAATTATTTGCATCTTTTTTGTCTCTCAGGGTGAAGACGAAAACCTCTGCTAAGTACGGACTGGAAGCTCAACCCAGACTGGTCGACATCATCGCAGCTGTTCCACCTCAGTACCGTCGGATTCTTGTACCCAAACTAAAAGCCAAACCCATCCGTACTGCCAGTGGGGTGAGGATCTTTAGCTTCTATATAACTTTATTAACGGTATTACCGTGACTTATTAGATATGCCGACTTAACGCTCCAACAGCATCACCAAATTGTTGCCTTGTGCTTAAATATTTCAGAAACTAAATACCAAAGATTGGTATTAAAACAATAACAACATAATGTGCACATATTTACAATTAGGTTAATTACTAGAAACATCTAAAACGTGGAAATATAACTGTGAAAAACCTCTAAATGAACTTAACCATCTGAAACAGTTTTTTATGCAAAACGCACATGCAGATGACTTCAATTAAATCACAGCCTGATGAATTTGAAATAACAAAATGAGATACCTTTAAAAAAGTGGAAAAAGTAAAAGAAACAAATCCCCCCCCCCCCCACACACACACACACACACACACACACACTGCCAATGTGAGCTAGGGGGAAGTGTCAACAAGTTTACTCAAACTTTATTGACAAAAACCCAGAATGTGAACCTTTTCTGGATTGATCAGGGATCGTTCTCGAGTTAGAACTGAGACGCCGTTCAGGCAGCACATTTCCACCACAGAAGTGTATCTTTGTCTGCTTATTTCAGCTCTGACCTGGTGCTCTAAGCTGCCGACAGGACCTGCCGCTGCATTGGCTTGTTTTTAAAGGAGACGTCCCAGAGTCACCTTCATTCCTGCAGCTTTGTGTTGAGCCTCTTCCACTCTAACAACCACTGAACCTGCTGGCGCTTGGCTCTCTAAGCTCACCATCTCAGCCGATGTGTTGGCATGAGACTCATAATCTCCATGGTAACAAGGGTCGAGGAAACTGCATTTTTGCAATAATTTGTGCACTGAATCGGGATCATTCTTGACCTTCAGCTTTTTTACAGTTCCTCTTTTGATGTGTTAGCTGGAGTTCATTTTCTGCCAGAACCAATAGCTTGTCCCTGCATAGCTGGAGTATGAGCAGGATAGAACTGGTCACATAATGTTCTGCTGACTAAATATCAGTGAAGTCACGGCTGGTTTCAGTGCATCAGCTTTGTAGATATCTGGGTCTTCCAGGTCAGGGAAAGGCTTCCACTTCTGTGGTCAGATAACACGTATCTGATCCCAGAGCCAGCTCCAGGATTCGATCCACTGTTGCCAGTTTGGAGTCCCAGCAAGTTGCGCAGTCCTGCACATGGATTAATTCATTAGCTATTTAATAAACAAATTCATTAATAGATGAAAAAAACGAATGAATGGATGAAGAAATAATGACATAATAAATAAACCCCTTAACGTATATAGTTATATTCCTAGTTCCCTACCTTGTAACAGATTCAGATATTTAGATCTAAATTTTGTCTTACTGTTATTATATCATGTTCTGCTTCTTGTAGAGTTCCCTCTTATGTGGCCGGCTGTGTGAAAAGGCCCCATCGGAACCACAGCACACTCAGAGCATCTGCTCCGGTTTTTGCCTGTTGTCATGCAAAGCATTTGTGACGTCTAGTTTTAGATGGTGACCAAAGCAGTTAAGCCACGCCCAATTCAGGAACCTAAAGCAAGGATCTGCCATAGGATTCTCAGCAAAATACGTTGTTTAGAGGCATTTGGATTGAAGTTTCCACTCAGGTGTGATGATGTGGACAGTCAGGGACGTATATGGAGCCATAGGAACTGATGAAAACATCAGTTGTTAAGGCACAACTGTCAGCCTCTGAGATCCGGGCTTGAACCTCGTCTGTAACTTTACTATACAAATGTGGGATGGCTGTTTAGGAGAAATATTTCCATCCAGGTAGCTCTTACTGGGCATCTAGGACCTTTATGATGGTAGGTCTTTACCATGTCCTTAAAGGCCTTTTTTGTCCTTCGCCATGTATGGGTTTTTTAACAGATCCTGACTCTTTTGTACTTCGTGGTTTTCCAGAAGGCCCCCATTGTTGTCAGCTGTGTTAAAGTGGTGGTGGACTTAGATGTGGTCTTGGTGCTGCATCGGAATCAGTGCGAGTTGTTTAAACTGTTGAACTTCTTGAACTTGGTGCCAAATGCATCCTCGCAGCAGAGTGGACAGTTAAGTCTGAGATGTGTCCTTAGCTTCATTGTGTCTCCGTCTCTCGCTGCCCCATTTTTGTTACATCATTTACATATTGCCTCATCACTATTTACTGGCTGCCTCTTCTCATTTGCTACTAACCAAAAATATTACCAGACTGCAGAAGTTATGTTCTTCGTATTGTGAAATTGAGGAGAAACTGAGACTCTTGCAAGAGGAATTTCAAATTTATTTTACGTCGTTAGACGGAGAGAAAAGCTCTGACTGGGGCAAGCCCAGCACACACATCTATACTGTACAACACACACTCTACCTTGGGACCATTCCACCCCTGCATAGAGAACTTTCTCACACACGAACATTTGGAGGAAAATAACTTCAGTTCATCATTCCCTGTTAGGTTAATAT